TTTTGCACTTCCAAATGACAAAACCAGACACTTAAGCCACAAAGCAGAGGCTTCAGGGTGTGTGCACGCGCATGCATGCATGCACACACAGGGAGAGTTCTTCTCCAGGCAGTCTATCCCTTTCACCAGCCTATCTGCCTCCACTGAGGACAGAGAAAGAGCAGCCGTGGGATGATGCAAATATAACCTATCCACCTCTTTCTTTGTGAGGCAAATCAGAGACACCAGAGACTGTTGAAAGATGCCCCAAAGTAATAAGCAGGTACAAAACACAAGCTTGCAGCTAAGAGCCACACCCAAGTGCAATGAAACTTTCCTCTAAACACCTATTTTTAAAGTGACATCAGATATTAAAAAGTTGAAATCTTTCATAAATAACAAACAGTTGAAGAACTTCCTGTTCTTTAGGACCCAATCAGAGGGAGTTCTGGGTTTCACAACAATAAGGCCCAGTTCATACATAAACAAGGATGAAGTGATCAAGCTCTCTTGGGATGAATTCACACAGCCTGACATCATCCCATCAGGATGCAGGTTCCAACACAATGTGTGTGGTATTTCCCCTCAAAAATCCCCCTTTTTTTCTTATTTCTGTAATAGATCTTTTTTAGCAATCCAAATGTGTTAACAAAGTCACAATACAATTGGTTTCCCTTGGGGTACTCTTTGAGTGAAAGGGTGATCTACTTTTATAAAACAGAAGAATCATGTTGGGGGGTTACCTATAAGCATGTCAAACTAACTACAAGGGACTAAGAAGGAGAGTTCTCTGATAAAATAGGGTTCTGAAATTGTCAGGCAGAGCTCCGTGGAGAAGCTGGGAGGGGGAAAACACTCTGTGTACTCTACCCAAGGAACCAGTGGGTAGAAAAAGATGTAACAAATAAAAATAAAATCCCCATCAAATGCACAGGGACAAAGGAATGATGGTTCTAACCTGTGCATGCTGACAGAAAATTGGTCTAAAACCTCCTCAGACAGACTCAGCAGGAAATGAAGACTAACTGCAAATGCTAAAGATTGCCCCCCGCAAAAAAGGATAATCTTTCTAGTATTACTTTCCTTGCTGCAGTTACATACTATCTACCTCATGCTCACATTCTAAATATAGCAGATCTTGCACAGCATTATTTGTCACATGCAGCTGCATTCTGAAAAGCTACCACCATCACGGTCCTGCCTCACACACAGACAAGCTCTGCCATAGATCTTGATGCCTAGGCCATACCATCCCAGTCTGCAAAAGGGGGGCCTGACCATCACTTCCAGGGAAGAATTCAGTGAATAAAAAGACAAGAAAACATCTCAGGCAACAATCACCAATCAAGCCCATAGAGCTCTCTGGTCCCAAGACAAACCTCTCAGGTGGGACCCCAAATGGTGGAACTGCTAAGGCTGCCTCCCAGGCTGCAGCAACTGAGGGTAGGATGGAGAAACAGAGGAGGAGAGTTACATGGCCATATTTTCCCCACTACAGCAGCTGATCTGAGCCCGCAAAGGTCTCTCCACCACCTCTTCAGTCACTGCAACTGAGAAGACAAAAGAGAAGAACTCAACAGTCCCAGAGCTGACTCAACAAAGATAGCAAAGGAGGACCTGGCCAGTAGCAGCTTTTGTGTCACTCGTGCCCTCATTCCTTCTGTGGTTCTCTACACTACACCTTTTAATGTAAAAAGAGAATAAAGGCAAGTGGTGAAGTATAGACAAGGGGGAACCTAAACTCCACTTTCTACCTGCCCCAAGGTGATTGTCTCCTTTGCTATCTGTACACCACTGTCCCATTAGACCTTAAAATCTCCATCGGGGAAAAAATCCAAAGCACAGGTGGTTGTCCTGACCTCCCATCTTTCCGCTTTCTTGGATCACAGCAGTAGAAACTAAATCTATAAACTCTGATCACATGGTGCCTGATAAAATCAACAAAAGCTGCAAGAATTTAGACTTCTAATTTGCAAAAGAGGTCAGCCATAGCCAGCTTACATCTCACCAGGAAGTGATCCATTCATGACAAGAGATGACAAGCAATCCATGAATCACTGGTTCCCTACCAATCCACCCTACCCCAAATCAGATAAAGAGTATACCTGTAAAGTGCAGTTCTGCTGTAAGGCGAGATAAATTGCACTTACAAGGACATCTCTGTATTAGAAGCTGTACAGTCTAAATTTCTGAGACGCTTACCTTGAGTTTCCCACTCTGTCATTAACACTTTTCTTCAGTTAGAACTTGGCTATATTTCAGTCAAGACTCAATTATGACTCTGCTGGTTGAAATATTGGTTTAAACAAATTGGGGGAGGGGGCGTGCAAATCTTTAGCTCAATTAGTTTTTATAAACAGATAGAAACAAAAAATGGATGACCCCAAACTGTATCCATGCTAGACTTGGATGAAGCCCAGAAAGAGTTCAAGCAGTGAAATTTAGATTTTGATTTAGAAAGAAATAGAACCAATACTTCCCATCTCTGCTACAATGAGCTCACACATCCTTCTTTTCAAATTCCCCAATACCTGTATCATTTATCAGCCATGTTTCACAGGAGAGCCTTGACACTGCCTCGTTTGGATGGTATCATTGGGCAAATACAGTGCTCTAAGGAATACCAAGAGCATTTATGTATCTGCTCAGACTTCAAAATTGATATAGTAGCATACATACCTTTGGAATGCCCTATATCACTTTTGGAGGGCAGCGTTAATCTCCCCTGTTTACAGACTATTCAGACCACTCTCATATGGCACTTATGCACTACTAAACGACAAGGATTGGGAAGCCTCTAGAAATGTAGCCAAATTTTGTACTATGACAATTAGAAGCTTTTGGACCTGATTGCTTCCCCAGGTATACAGTACTGGATAGCTGTGCAATGTGTTGTTTTAACTTCTGCGTTTGGTCTACAACCATATACTTTAATGAACTAAACTGTGCCTTGCAAAGTGTTTTGGGCCTATGGTATTCTGAGACAGCCCCAGGGCTACCATGGTAATCCTGGAATCCTGAACAGACAAGTGGACAACATTAGCATAGATACCAATATAACTGTTCTGAGATTCTCTAAGGTGGTGTTGGGCACCTAGTCCACCAACAAGACCCCTGTTCTATTTTGTGAGGTTGGTTACCTGGTGAGACAAATCTATAGGATTTCTATAGATGGGTGCAGCCCCTCCTTGACCCTCCATCCCCTGCTGAAACTGTGCCCAGTACCTGGCTGGGAAGAGCTGGGTCAGGTTTACCCCTTTTATGACCTGTGAAAAATTGTGGGGAGGCTGGGAAAGGAATGGAAAAGAGCACAGACACATACAAAAAGATAGCAGCAGGGGAGTCAGTGGACAGGTTATCTCATAAACAGCAATTTGGTCCAGGTGGAAAGTTCAGGAAGAACCATTTCAGAGTATTGAAAAAGACTCCATCTTAATTTACTCACTATAAATGAAGCTGGGAAATTCCTATGACAGTTTTCAAGACTTTGTATTTATCCCATACCTTACGGAAATCTTTGTACTTCTTGTTTCCTTGGATTTGCCCAGTTGGGTGGGGACTGATACAATCATATTATGTATTAGTGCTATCTTATTCCAGATCAACTTGGCATTCACTAACAGCATCACAAATTGAGAGGGGAAGTCAGCATGGAAACCCCAGAATTTGCTAATGGTGTGGGCAGAGTGAGAAGTCTGAAACATCCAGATCCTGGAGCTCTTGGATAATATACCAATTCCCTTAATATATTTTAGTACCTTTCTCCTACTCTCACCTCAGGAAAAAGCAATCATAGAGCTGTGCCAGAACATCTGCACAATAGATTACTATGCCAACCCCCTTTCCTTCTTCAAGAATACCACAAGTTCTCTCATGCTAATGGCACACCACTGCTGTCACTGCAAAAGGAGGGTGAAATATGTTATTGTTTTGCAAAGAGCCCATTATTCATTCTGATGGATAAAACAGCTGATCAAGAAGGGCTTAAGTCACTAGCAATTGTCAGTACATATGCAACTCTACAGTTTTCCTCAAGGCCACGCAGGTGCTTACCAACTGACTTACAAACTGCATACATGGATTTCACTTAGGGAGAGGGGCACACTGTACAGCTTGTATACTCAAATAAGCCCCACTAAACAGGCTGGACTTACTGCTGAGAAAACTATGTAGAATTTGGGGGCACAGCTGCAATTCTATGTATACTTACTTAGGAGTAAGCCCAATATAAAGCAATAGAATTTGCCTCTATCAGACTGAAAATATACAAGCTAGCTGGCAACAAGTTACCTTTTTGTGCTTGGACCTTAGTAAAAATCATCGAGAAGATGCACTCTTCTTGGCGAAAAGAAATGTGGCTGGTTTGAAAACAATAGTTCTATTTTTAGACTATTTACATTTCCACAAGAGAAGCCAGATGTGTGCATTAATATTATATGTAGCTAGGCTGCTCAGCTTTCCTGATCTTCTATCATACATCAGTCCTAAGCTGCAGGTATGGTTCATGATCCCTATTTTACAAAAAGGTTAACTGCTGCATGTGTAAATATGGGGGGGGGGAGAGAGAAAGAGGGAGAGGGAGATGGCTTGGGCTTCCAAAGTCCGTAGGTCCATCTTAACCATTAACAAAAATCACAAGGATGATAAATGATGCTCCTAGCCTGGCAAATGATAGAATGCCAAAGCTTGTGCCCTTCAGGGGAATTGGACTGCAATTCCCTATTATCCACAACCAGCATGACCCTGAAATGGCAACTGTAGTCGAAAGCATGCGGAAAACATCAGGTTGTAGAAAGTTGTCTAATTTAATGGCATATCTTCTATTGTGCTTGATTTTTTCTTTGGCTCACCTATTATCATGTCAGGAAAAAGAGCATCAGTTGGTTTCTCATTCTTCATTTACGTTTCTGATTGAAAGAGTTATTAAATTTCAGATTGTAAGCATGGATTATATATGTACAGACATTAAGGCTAAGAGAGAAGGAGACAACTTTTTGTTAAGAAAAGAGCAGGTTGCTCACCTCTATGGTAGGATCATACTCATCAACAAAATGATTCTGAATAAGCTGAATAGTCAGTGCACTTTTCCCAACGCCTCCTGCACCAACCACCACCAGTTTGTACTCTGTCATCTTCTGGGCTACCCCAGCTCAGGGTCTGCTCACCACACAGGTGCCTAGAAACAAAAAAGAAACATATGAAGACCATAAAGACCAGGCAAACTGTTTCTTCTCTTATCCCAGCTGTCATTAACGTTACCTTGCAAAAAACAGGAATAATGACAGCAAAGGCACCGGAAGGCAGAGCTGTGGCTGCAGATGTTTACACCCTTTTGATACAAGATCCAGTTCCAGATTTTTTCATTACATGGACATAGTAACCCCCAATACCCAAAAGCTCTAAAGGGGATCAGAGCCGTCTGAAAAGCATTGTGTAAAACAATATATGGCAGGCAAAATGTGCAGGATGGGAGGAAAGGAGCTATTCATTATTCAGGGCCAGTTAATCAGTACTTAAAATATATTGCTGGCCTGGTGCAGTGGCCAGAGTGTCTTATTTAAATCCTCCTCCGGCACCTATACCTTACTTAAACTCAAGTGGCTGATGCACAGAAGATAAATGATATAAATACTTTGGAAATAGGAAACTGCTGCAAGAAATTTCCTAGACATTTTAAATATAAAAAAAGCCTTTTAAAAGGAAACAAACTTGTAGACCATTCACAAATTTTGTTCCAAATGCTGTTTCTTCTCCTTTCAGACATGTAGGTGGACAATAGGAGAAGCAGAGCAATCACAAATACAGCTTGCAGCAATTTCCACAATCAGAGGAACTGCAAAAGCATTGCTATAATTACAGAAATTCTGTGATGTATCCTGATGCCATCACAACTGTCATCTCTTGAGAGAAAAAATATATTTACTCTGAGCTGAATGCTACATGAAAGTAGGGCTAGAAAAAAAGCAAGTAGCTTGCAATTAAGAACATAATAAAGAATAGCCACATTAATACATTAAGAGGTATTAATGTCAGACAATCTAAGGAAAGCCTGAAAATATCAGCCAGGAGTTTTATGTTTTTCCTTTTTATTTTCTTGATATACACTACATGGCACCCAGTAGGACCTCAGAGTATTATTTTATAACTGAATAAACATTTAAGAAGTGTTACATATATCAAAGTAGGGCTTACAATTTGCTCAAATTACAGATCCAAAGAGCTGCAGAACCAGTATGCGTGCCTCTTAAAATAGCACCCTGCTCCCACACAGCCATATTTTTACCTAAACTGCAGCTCTAGTATAAAGGTAGGACCCAGTGGAGGACTGGCCTTTCTGAGTTGATCCCAGTATGGACAGAAGGGGCATACCCACTTTTGCTTCAACCTGTCCTCCCCAAAGCTGGCTCTGAGAATTGAAGACCTTCAAGGATAGAAGACTAACTCTAAAAAAGGCCTGTGTATAAACCATAATGTGTAGGGCTTTATTTAAAAGTAACATATATTTATATTTATTGTTCTGACTCTGTTCCTTTCACCTTCCTTTATTTTAATAATTTCCAGTTTCCAAATCATGTTACTTTCCCAACTGATTTTTCATGCAGAGACTAAGAGAGCCATTCCAGAGTAAGGTAATATAATCTACCCAGAAAAGTCCTTGTATTGGGAGGTTTAGAAATTACAATTTTAATAATAATGGCAATGCATTTTCCTCAAAAAATGAGATATACAAATTGTTTGGATGAAATAAATTAATTTAGGGAAGAAAATCTACTATGATTACCTTAATAATAATACTTGATAATACTCAGTTATTCTTTATTGTTTAATAAATATATTTATTTATTAACTTTTAAATTTGTTAATACTTAGTAATATTCTTCCATCCAGAATAAGTACAGATCAACATCACAGACAACTAGCACAGTATTTTATTTGTATAGTACTCATCCTCCTATACCCCTGTAGTTACCTGCATTTTGTTAATACTCTAAAAAAATTGGGGACAGATCCAAAATGCTGTCAGAATCCTGAATTTATCCATACTGTACCCACAGCAATTTTTTCATGGAAACGTCCCAAGTGAACAGTGAATAGGAAAGTAGTCTGCTTTCTAGGAGACCAAAATTCCCTTACATAATGAAGGAAATAAATTAAGGAGAGAGACATAGTTCATTCTGAAAACAGGACTACTATTTCCTAATTACTCCTATTATATCCATGCCTTATTCCAAAAAGGAAGAGATGAATAAGTAGAATGACCAGAATCAGAAGCAAGGGGGTGTAGGAAGATAAGTGCTATATAAATAAAATACTCTGCTAGTTGTCTGTGATGTTGACCTGTACTTATTCTGGATGGAAGAGTATTACTACTATTATTATCCATTTAATAAATTTAAAAGTTAATAAATAAATATATTTATTAAACAATAAACAAAGAATAACGGACTATTATCAAGTATTATTGTTAAGTTAATCATAGTAGATTTTCTTCCTTAAATTATTTCATCCAAAAAATTTGTATATCTCATTTTTTGAGGAAAATATATTACCATTATTATTAAAATCTGTTATCACAATTCAATGCTGTAATCAACTTACAATGCTCAAACTGAATTTGGAAAGGACCAATCCAAACCAGCCATATTATCTGTTCTTCCAAATCATGAATGAGTACTCCAAAGAACAGCACCACAGAGGCAACTGAACAATCATTTTAACAAACCAGTCACGTTTCAAATATATAAACTACATATGAAAGTTGTTTTTCAGTTACAGGTGTTTATTGCCTAGAGATCTACTGAATATTTATGCCCTTGACAGATCTCATTCCTGTCCCAAACGTTCTGGTAAATATAGAGAATTTTGAGGAGGGGGGCAAGAAGTTAGCTTTTCATCCCTTTCTGGAACCAAAAGAAGTATGAAAAAGGTTTGCTCTGATCCTGAGATCACCAAACCCTTGGTACAAAGTGGGACTCCATAATTTTCTCCTGTGATTCTCTTCTTAGAGTTGCTGAATCTGTCTTCCACTATCTGGAGATGCTGTAGAGAGAGGGATCCCCAGAAAGATGGACAGTGCTGGGGATGAATTGGTAACCATACAACTGAGGGTTGGTGGGGGGGGTGGGGGGGAGAGAGAATGTTAGACTTCCTGCAATTAAGGCAATTCTCACTGCAGCTGACTCTTAGTTTACTGCTAAGAAGTAAAGTGAACTTTTAAAGCGGTCATCAGAAAGAGCTATTCTCCCATCATTAGTCATGTTACACACAATAAACTGGTTCTTGTGACAACACTGTAACTAGATTCCATGGTGCGATTAGAATTTCATTCATGTACAAAGTATTTTCCACCCACTTGGATCACAGTGAGATCCCTCTGGAACACAAGATGATCCATGAAGGAAGACAGACTACTGCAAATGAGAAACAAAAGGTACTTTATTATGCAATGAATTAATGTGTATCCAAGATTGCATGCTGATATTTACTAATATCACAGTGAGATCCCTCTGGAACACAAGATGATCCATGAAGGAAGACAGACTACTGCAAATGAGAAACAAAAGGTACTTTATTATGCAATGAATTAAGTGTGTCAAATGGACCTAAGGTACAACTTTATTTACTAAGGTATTAGTAAATATCAGCATGCAATCTTGGATACACATTAATGGTAGTCCCCAAGTTAAGAACACCTAGTTTAAGAACGACCTATAGTTGAGAACGGAGCCTATTGTAGCAAAATTCAAGTTAAATACACAACAATTCGAGTTCATTACACACTACTACTTATACAGTATTATACAATACTGTTTCAACTGACATACAAATTTGACATAAAGACAGATCTTAGGAACGGAACTCATTCTTAAACTGGGGACTACCTGTACAGCCAAAATTAAGCAAAATAATATTATGCTGATATTTACTAATACCTTAGTAAATAAAGTTGTACCTTAGGTCCATTTGACACACTTAATTCATTGC